CTTGGAGTGACAGTCGGGAGAAGGGAAGTCTCAACCCAGACCCGCCTCCGGTCATGTCAAGGAAAAGTTTCGGGAGACCATAATAATAAAACTGTAGAATATAAATCTTCCGAGGTCAGACTGAGACCCATCTGGTCCAAAAGCAGCGTTTGCTAATACTTTGCTGGCTCGCCAGAGAGAGAGAGAGAGAGAGAGATTTCAAAAATCTTCATCACAAAGGTGGAGCGGAGAAGCAGAAAACTTTAAAAAGCATCCTAGCCAGATGTTGTAACCAGTGGATTTGCACCTGGGCATCAGAAATTGTTGTTGTTCAGTCGTTAAGTTGTGTCCAACTCTTCGTGACCCCATGGACTAGAACATGCCAGGCCCTCCTGTCTTCCACGGCCTCCCAGAATTTGGTCAATTTCATGCTGGTCCCTTCGGTGACACTGTCCAACCATCTCATCTTCTGTCGTCCCCTTCTCCTCCTCTTGCCTTCCCTCTTTCCCAACATCAGGGTCTTTTCCAGGGAGTCTTCTCTTCTCATGAGATGGCCAAAGTACTGGAGCCTCAGCTTCAGGATCTGTCCTTCCAGGGAGCACTCAGGGTTGATTTCCTTCAGAATGGATAGGTTTGTTCTCCGTGCAGTCCAGGGGACTCTCAAGAGCCTCCTCCAGCACCACAATTCAAAGGCACCAATTCTTCGGCGGTCAGCCTTCTTTATGGTCCAGCTCTCGCTTCCATACATCGCTACTGGTAAAAACAGAAATTAGAAGGCACCAAAATCTAGAGAGGAATCTACCGGGAGATTAGGAGACTCACATCCCATGGAAATGACTTGACTCACACAAACCCACAGTATAATATCATTGTATGCCACTGTAATTGACATTTTAAAGAGAATGTGGGGAAGGGGGGGGGAATATAAATCCAGTAACTAATCAGTGGCTAAATAAAATAACTAAATAAGCCTCTGCAGTCCTTACAGCTGTGGAGAAGTCCGTAACCTCCATATTACAGATGGCGCTGGTGGAGATAAAGATGTGAGGCCTGGGAGTTTGTGATGTCACAGATGTGAGGCAGGCAAAAGCTGGAAAGGAACACACATACGAGCATCCTTTACACGGAGCCCATGAGCCTTGTTGCCAGCTGGGAGTGGGTGGGGATTGGTGCCCCAGACTTGAAAGCCACTTCCTACACAAGAATTGAACACAAAAACAGGGGGAAATCTCTAGCACCACATGTCCTGAAATTTGCCTCATTCCCTGGAGACATGGAGAAGCAGAACAGTTTCCAAGTGGCACCAAGACATGGCAACCCTATCCTAAGGTTCTTACGCTGGAGGTTTGGGCTAGCTTTGCAGGCGAACTCTAAATAGTGGAATGTTTCTCCTGTATTCCAGACTCGGGTTTTGAGACAGAGATCCTAGCTGAATAAGACAGAAGTCTAAAGCGAACCATGCTGTGAAGTAAAGGGAATCCTGCATGCAGCTCTTCACAAGCTCTTTATTTTTAAAAAACTTTGTATGTATTGATATTATTTATATGCCGCTTTTCTCCCCATAAGGGACCCAAGCTGGCTCAGAGCAAATAAAACTGTAAAACAAACACAATTTAAAATAGAATAGGGCCCCCTTATTGATGGGATCAGAATCTGCTTATTCATTCAATTAACCACGGTCTGAAAATATTAAAAATATTAAAAGAAAAATCTTAGAAATATATATTTCTAAAGATGAAGTTACCAGAAGTGGCTACTAGAGGGAGCCAGAGGCCATGCAATGTGTAGCATATAAATTGGAGAAATATATTTGCATGGTGCCATTATGAGAACTGGCCACTAGATGGAGCCCAATACCATGTTATATATAGCATTCACCATTAAAATAGCATTTGTTCTAAGCCATATTTTTCAGCATCCATGGCAAGGGGCTTATAAGTGATTCCCCCACCAATACAGGGGTCCTACTGTATAATATGTTATAAATGTCCTATTAAAAGCAATTAAGCCTGTATTAAATTTAAAAGACAAGATTAAAAATAATTTTAAGACTTTAAAAATCTGTGAATTAAAAACCGGCATTCCGGAGACAGCTTACTACATAAAATCCTGTCTTTGGCTGATGATGGAAGGGCAAGAGGGAGGAGGCCAACCTGGCTTCTCAAGGCAAAGAAGTCCAAAGCCGTTGCAAGGGAAATGAAAGCTTAAAAACTGCAAGAAGCAAAATCAAAGCAAAAATGGCATTGTGGCCCTTTAAAGACTAATGGGTATCTCTTAAGGCTTAATGGAAGATTTCATGGGTCATTGCCTGCTTCTTCAGCCATATAAGTTAGAATACAGAGACTGCAGGGTAAATCATTCACTAAAATACTGGTGTTTGGTTGCATTTCACACCTAGAAATTATTTATGACACCTGATTAGTATTCAGTTCTCTTGAAGCTTGAAGTCCTAAATACAGCAATCATGATTAAAAGAAACTACAGAGGAACAACAGGTGGTAATGAAAAGAGTGGCTGACCTTACCTTTAGGCCTTGTTCTGAAAAGATGAGTTGCTAGTTGTGAAGGAAAATAACAGTGGACAACAGCATAAGTACTACATTTGGTAATTCCTTAAGAAACCTTGGCTAATATTTAATCTATTGATATGGATGTTCAACATGTGTATATATTTTATCTCAGCTGTTTTGCTCTGGATTCTTGTTCTGTAGCTTTTTTTCCCTTCCAGAATAGGAACTTTCATATCTTGTAAAGAGTGTCTTGATAGCCTAAAGTGATTTGAGACACATTTCTATGTGTGCTCTTTTCTGATGTCTGATTTATATCCTTTGAGTCTTTTGCATAGAGATAGTCCTGTCTAGCGAGCAGAGGGGCCCTGGTGGCAAAAGATGGCATAGATCACATTAGCAGAGGAAGAAGTCAAATTGCCCTTGATGTTGAGTGTTGGGGCCTGTGATAGTGTTGCCAGAGTAAATGTGGGGGCAGAGCTAGCATCTGGGTTTGTAGCAGGATATAGTCCCCATCTTTGTGTTGGTGTTGTGTAACTCATTGTGTGTCAATAGTAGCTTGAGACTGACGGACTGTCTCTAAGGAAGCCTAGGTCTTCCATTTAAGGGTTTGGGAGAGTGACGTGTTTTTGATGAGGATGGGTTGGAGGTCATTTGCGATGTGTGTGAACGTCTTCCTTGTGGGTTGAAAGTTCAGTTGTTTTCTGGGGCTGCACTGCAGTAGGTTACTTCTTGTTGTAGGTCTTGCAGGGTTAATTGGCTCTTTAACCATATTGCAAGGGGAGTGTAGTCTGAAGCATGCATTTTGGAGGTCCTTGAGTCTTCAGCCTCTCTCTTGTGGGTCTGAGCAGGTGCGATTGCATTTGAGGGGTTGGCTGTAAATGATTGATTTCATGGTGCGTTTAGGATGGACGCTGGAGACCTGCAGGTACTAAGTGTATCCATCGGTGGGTTTTCAATACAGTGCTGTGCTAAGAGATCCAGGTTGTAGCTTTAGAATGGTGTCAAGAAAAGGCACCCATTGTGTGGATTAGTCCAGGCTAAGACTGGTGGTTGGATGAAAGTCCTTCAAATCCTGGTGGAATTTCTCTCCTGTTTCCTGTCCTTAAAAATACCACGACCCACAAAAACTTCCAGTTTGGGTTGCAAGGATTTTGCCAGATGGCCACTAGAGGGCAGGAGAGGCCTTGCTTACAAGCCATTGCAGCCTTAGCTGAACCCTTTTTTTTTTTACTCAGAAGTTCGTTTCACTGAAGGTAGTGGGGCTTACTCCTGGGTCAGTGTGGTGGCAATTTCAGCCTTGGACGGCTCTGAGGGTGGACTGTCAAGGCGGCCGCGATCATAGCGGTGGTGGGGAAGGAAGGTGTTCAAGGAATGTCCACAAACCAATCCTTCTCAGCAGTAACTTGTGCAGTGAGTGGTGGACTACAACTCCCAGTTGCCCCAGCCAGGATGGCAAGGGGTTAGAGATTCTGAGAGATGGAGCCCAAGACTTCTGCAGGGCCAGAGACTGAGAACTGAGGCCATGAAGGAAGATTCAAGGTGAGAGCAGAAGAGGAAGGATAGAGGATGACTACCCATACCCTGGAATGCAGAAGTTACTCCAGAATTTTAATGGCAAGTGTTCTGGAGTTAAACAAACCGCTCGGTTTATACTGGGACAATCAAAATCTCATTCTTCCTCCATGGAGCTTATTTTCCCCACTCTTATCTTCACAACAGCCCCAGGAGTTAGCTTAAGCTCCCCCCTCCCACCCCCAGGACTGTTTGCTTGGAGACTAGAATCTCGGTTTTCCGGAGTCTGGTACCCTAACATCTTCCCCAATGAAGCATCTTCCCGAGAGGTTGGATTTCAACACCCATCCTTCCCAGGCATTCCCACCAGGGATGGCTGGGGGTGATGGGGTTGTTAGCTATGGAATTTTGAAGGAAGCGGTAGCACTGTGACTCTTGAGTATCAGCCGCAGATGTAGGCATAAATGTTAAAAGTTAGTAAGTCATTGCAACCATGATCTCCTGTTTGGCCTACAAGGGGCTCGCCTGATTCACTCTGGTTAGGAGAACGACACGTGAGCAAATCTACTTCTGTGTCTGTTTGGGGTGAGGAAATCCCCATCATACTTTGGAGGGCGTAGAGTCCATCAGATGCATTATTGTGGTTGCACGCTGTCAAGTCAACTTATGGCAACCGTAACAGGGTTTTCAAGGTAAGGGAGATATTTAAAGGGTGGCTTTAACAGTTTCAAACTCCTAGTCAGTTTCCATGGCTGAGTGAGGATTCGAACCCTGTTCTCCAGAGTCCTGGTCTGTGACTCTATCCACACCACACTGGGAACCCATTATAGCATTAATTCACTCTAGAAATTGAGACTGGAAGAATGGACGCTGGGTTTAGAGACACCTGAACAAATGGAGCCCATTTAAGGAACACAGTTTCTTGCCTAGGACTTCACTAGGACCAGAGTTTGACTACAAACCCCAAAATCTGGACTACATCTACCAAAATCCTCCATTTTGTTGTTTGTTGTTTAGTTGTTCAGTCGTGTCCAACTCTTCGTGACCCCCATGGACCAGAGCACACCAGGCCCTCCTGTCTTCCACTGCCTCCCGGAGTTGGGTCAAAGTCATGTTGGTTGCTTTGATGACACTGTCCATCAAGTAGTGAATGCTGGGGGGACAAAAAAAAAAGAAGAGGAGGGGAGGCTACCTTACCACTGAACTACATGATGATGCAGAAATGCAATCACTACTATTCTTGGTTCAGCCCTTTTGGGAACCTTGTGGCAGCTGCACTGCAGTCCTGCAACCAAAACTCTGCTCACAACCTGGGATCAATCCCAGGTAGCTGGCTTGAGGTTCACTCAGCCTCCCGTCCTTCCAAGGTCAGTAAATGGAGTACCCAGTTTGTGGTGGTGGTGGGGAGGAAGGAATGTGTAGCTTGCAGAATTCAATTGAAAACCACCCAGAGGGTGCTTAAAGCAAAGAACACCCTGCAAATGTTGAAATGTGAATCACCTGGAGAGAAGCTGTATTTCCAGTTTCATGGTGAGAAGGTCAGGTGAACCAGGAAGCGGCTTGTTAAGGTCTTTAAAAAACGAGGTAAAGAAACGACCAAGTTTGAAAGAGACCATCCTCCACCGAGCTTGAAAGAGAGATTTGTAAGTTTACGTCTGGGCATGGCGGTGGTGAAATCAACGTGTTTTGCACACTTAATTTGATACCTTCCTTGAGGTCGTTAATTTCCTCCTTTCACAGGTTCATGCAGCTGAACTCTTATAGTAACTAACCGAATCGCCTTCTAGATCATTAGGAAATAAGTTACTCTGGGTTGAGACCAGACCTGACAGTAAACGCATCTTGCTGGCCTGGTTCTTGAAGCAGAATGGGCTCACTCTGGAGCAATATTCAGAGCTTGGAATAGTTACGGGGATGAATCCCAACTCCTCTTACACCCAGTTCATGCAGCTGAACTCTTATAGTAACTAACCGAATCGCCTTCTAGATCATTAGGAAATAAGTTACTCTGGGTTGAGACCAGACCTGACAGTAAACGCATCTTGCTGGCCTGGTTCTTGAAGCAGAATGGGCTCACTCTGGAGCAATATTCAGAGCTTGGAATAGTTACGGGGATGAATCCCAACTCCTCTTACACCCAGCGGCAGAACCAGTGGTCAGCAATGAATCCGGTCAGTTAGGGCCTTGTGACTGCAACGTCCACAGGGTGATGGTGAGTTTGCTCCAAGTTTGGTCTGAACTTAAATGAACTCTCCACGGTTCTGAATCTATCTTGGGGGTTGAGTTCTGCATCTTAGCTAGCTCCAGTATAGTTCAGAATGAAACACGGACAAATTCAGCATGCCACTGGCCTTGAAGTCACCAGCATCCACGGATTTGGGTTTTCTTGTGGGATCACTGAGTGAAGCAAAGGAATGGAGGAAGCATTTAAAAATTCCATTCCTAGAGCCATCTCCTCTGTTTTCTGCTGCTGTTCAGTTATTTATGGTAACTTCATCATTAGAAAGTATAAGTATATCCATGAATTTTTCATTTAATATTTAATATTTTTGAATTGTGGATAAGTGAATCAGTGGATACTGATCCCGTGGATATGGGAGTCCTACTATATAGTCATGTGAGGTTTCCGTGGCTATGCAGGGATTTGAACTCATCACATGACACTTCAATAGTGTAACCCACTTCTCATGAAAAGCAGTCTAATTATCTTAACATTGTATGTGGTTTTAATTTTCCCTCTATGTCGTTTTACCTCTACATTAAATTTACCTACGTTTAATCTTACCTATATTTCCATAATTTGATATGAATAAAGAAAGAGAATCTCAGAGCCCAGAAACTTAACAAGTCCCAGCATTGGCAAGGGGCTATGTATGCGTTAACAGGATGGGCTCAGCAACTCCATAAACCTTCTCTTTCCAAGGTCTGTAGTCTTGTCTTTGATCCCTTCAGGAATGGACAGGCTGCTTCTGATGACTTTTGTCAATCTGACAAGAGTTAAGGGCGTCCAGCCCTAGCTGAAAGTCCTTTTCCACAATGGGTGGGCTCCACCCAGCATATAAGCAGCACTGTCCATTTCTACCACCTCCCACCACAATCACTTAGAATAATGGGATAGAGGCCTCTATGGCCATTGAGTCCAACACCCTATTCAAGGGCAGGAATCCAAATCCAAGCAGATCCGCCAGGTGGTTGTCCAATTTTCTCTTGAAGGCCTCCAGCGTTGGAGCGCTTGCCACCTCTCGAGGTCATGGGTCCCCTTGAATTTCTCCCAACTCTGGATCACAGTTTCAGAGGAAGCCACCGAATGCACGTTTAACTCAGTGCTCCACGTGAGGGGTGTGAGGTCACCCTCCTTCACTCAAGTCTCATTTGGGGAATTCATGGCATTGAGGGTCCTGTTTCTTGTGGCAAACCTACTGACCTTAAGGGTCTTCAATGCAGGCAAGGGACAGAACGAGGAGCCCCGGAGCAAGAGCTAATAATAATACTAGTAGTGTGCCATCAAGTCCATTCTGACTTAGAGCGAACCTTTCCAGGGTTTTTTCGGGTAGAGAATACTCAGAAATGGTTTCTCATTCCCTTCTTCCTGGGTTGCCCTGGGACGGTGCAGCTGGCCCAAGGCCACCCAGGCTGGCCCTTCTCCCTGGCAACACACCATGAGGAATTTGAACTCCATCCTCTGCTCTGCAGACACATACCCAAGCCACTGAGCTATTTAGCCAGTGGGCCAATAACTGCCAAGCAGAAAATATCTACCCGAGCTTGCTCAACCACCTCTCGAAAGGGTGTCTTTCCCCTGAGGGGGAAGGCCTTCGTGAAGGACAGTCTCATTGGCTTCCTACTGTAGTTTCAAGGTGGAGCAATTGGCAGGCGCTGAGGTGTTTAGGAAACACTTGTCTGAAAGGAGGCCAGCCTCTGTTGTGCTTGGCTTGGGCTTCAGGCGCCCGCTGGCTCTGTGTACTCAGAGATAAGGAAGGGAAAAGTGTCGGTAGCAGTTCCTTCTCCCTGTGTTCAGAGCACATGGTGAACTCCACTGCTGTTTCTCAAGGGATGTGAAGAAGTAGAGCTGCTCTCAAGATAGGAGGTATGTGGGTCGCATCCGGGTTCTCCTTCATCCGTCCAAGCCCACTCCTTCCCACAACACTCTAGGCTGGACTTTGTCCTCTCCCTGGAGGTGCTGGCGGCCTCCAACCTAAGAGGTTTCAAAGCCAACCTCATGCTGCCTCCCTCCCATGCTCCCAAACTGGCAAGGCATCCATCCTGCATGGCCAGGGTGATACTAATGGCCTGATCAGGACAACCACATGGCTATTTTTGACTTGGATGGAAGGTAGCTGCTTACGCATCACCCCACAAAAGGAGACGCAGGTTGGCTTAAAATTATGCACATGCTATTTGATAGGTGCAAATTTAGACATAATTGTTATGGTCTAAATAGAAATCCACTTCCTCGTGAGGAAGACCGGGAACAAGAGGCAGGGTGACTTCAAACCTGTGCTTCTTGAGGTTCTCCATCCAGAACTGGACCAGATGGAGCTTCCAAGAGAGGTTGGTTTCACATAGACCTGTGGTTCCCAGTCTTGGATCCCCAGATGTTCCTGGACCAAAACTCCCAGAAGAC